TATTCACCTAATAACATGGAAAACCAGTGATTTAACATTTGGAAATGGATTCTACATCACTGCTGGGCATGACCCATCTTTTGATACACATCCATGATAGACTTTCCAAATAACACTACAGGGACTCTACAGAATAAAAGCCTCTTCCTTATACACACTCATACATTCTGGCATATTGCTCATAGCCATTTGTAATTTCATCATTGCAATGGCTCTGAGCATGCGGGCGGAGCCCGCCATTGGTGATTTCATCACTGCAATGGCTCTTAGCAGGCGGGCGGAGCCCGCCATTGGTGATTTTTTTCATCCCTGCAAGGGCTCCTAGCAGGCGGGCGGAGCCCGCCAACTGCGCTTTACCCACTGCGGTTCAATATGGACAACCCATATTACCCTTGTGCATCATATGCTGTGCACGTCTATTTCCCAGATTTCAGCACAAGTGGCACACAGCTCTCTTTGCCCATGACCTCGCCCTTTTTCCTTCCCTCAGCAGCCCTCAAAGGCGTAAGCAGTTGGTCTGGGGAGCCCCAATGTCACTTGCCAGGGCCGTATTGGCCCAGTTACCCAGACGGGCAGTAGGTGGCCCCCCTCAAAATTTCTTTAGAAATTTTCTAGTTTTCTTATTATTGATTCAAAGACTTTAGTCTACGTGGCTCCTTCTTCTCTTAGGTCAGAGGACGAGTCTTCTCTGCATCTCGATGAGGCCTCAGCAATGATCTATTCTTTATATTTTTTTTCTACTCTATAAAGCTTGGAAGTCAATTCTAATTCTGACAGGTTTAATTGACAAAGCTTCCTGGATGGGAAGCAAAACGTCTTCAAACTCGGAAAATAAAGTCCATTGGATTGTTTTTTTACTTTTTTTTTTATTTATTTATTTTTTTCCTTTTTTGGAATAAATTGTTTTCCTTAGTCTGCAAAAGACTTTGGCATTTGTATTTGCCATTACGTTCTTTACAGATAAAGGTGGACTGGATAGCAGAGATTAATATGTAAATCTGTAGATGTGCAAAACCAGATGAGACCAGTTTTTGAAAAGCAATTATCTCTATTCTTCCATGTCACAATTTTGCTCTACTTTGTATTAATCCATAAACAACAAAAAATGTCATATTTAAATAGCCAGATGTTTGTAGCTGTAACATGGAAAAAAGGATGCCAATTTTAAAGTGATGTGGAGCCTGTTATAATGCACGGTCAGTATGCTCACCATTGTCATCCTGTATCCTGAGAACAAAGTATCGGCTGGAATCACTGACAGTCTCCAATGCAACACCGGGGTACTCCATCACAGGCGCCTGGGCAAACAGTTCCCCTGCAGAAACACAGCGAACACGTGTAAAAAAAAACAGCAGACAAATAAAGGCATCTGTTCATCTTTTAAAGCTTAACGTTTTTAAAGAGCAGAAATAGTTTGCGCATTTCGTGTCAGCTAAGTATTCTACATCCAGTTTGTGTGACCTTAACACAGATGTGTTTTCTTTCTGAGTGGAAATGTCACATCGGCAGGACTTCTACTCTCCGGGGAGCGTGACTCATAGCGATAAAAAAAAAAAAAAATTAAGTAAACAATTTTTATATCCAACCTGAGATCTTGTCTTCAAGTTTGATGTATGCTACTTTGCCTTTGGCTGTTATTCTCATCCGACCGGACCAGTCCGGAGCGTCCAGCTTCCAGTCAGCTGCCCTGCAGACAAAAGCTAACAGACATTAGTTTCAGAACGGAAGGCTCTACATATGCCTACTCCTGATGCAATGCCAAGGCTCAACATGAAAAAAGAAAAACTTAACAGAAAGCTTTAGTCTTCCATCAAGACTTTTATTATGTTTTATTTTTCATCCACATTTTGGTTGATTCAATGCAACCTATACAGAACAAGGTTCTAATAAAAATTAGCTTCTAGAAAAAAAAAGATATCCTACATTTGAATAATAAGGTTTAAGAAAAGTTGGCCATGTTTACTGTTTCTCTCATTGTGCATAGCTCTAAAAGATCAACTAGATTATCTAAAGCCTAAATCACTACAACTGATACTTTAGCGTCTTTTCTTTATGGTTCTGTGTTATAATTTTTAAAGTGTCAACAGTTACATCTAGTACTTTTCTCACTTGTTTTTTAAACACATATTTGCCACAGGACTTACTATAGGTCATAATACCTTTTAAAACAAGCAAAGAAAAGTAAACGTTTATATTCAAATTTTTAAGTTTATACAGTAACGCCACCTTGTGGCTACCTCCTATCAGTACAGAATACAGACCCAGATTAATCCTTTGGCTAGGGACACCTAATGAGTTATTTTTGGTTTTCTCTTAGTGTTATCAAGTGTTACCAACTGTGGCTCAATGGGAAAATAAGTTTTTCTTGCATGAAAAAATTATAAAAATGCTTAAGAAACTAAATCAATCAATTAAATTTCATCATACTGCGCTGGTGTAACTGTTGCATTCATAATCCTGGAGATTACTGTAAAATTTAAAACAAATAAAACAATTGTATAAAATTGACATTATGGATTTAGGAGGGGAAAGCAGCATTTACTGGCTTTAAAGGTGATTTATTGTGTATGTAATAAAGCTAGATACATTAACTTATATGTGACATTTTGGAATAAATGGAGTCTTAGAAAAGGAAAGATCGCTTTATTGTCCTTCTGTGGGGAAAGTTTTTCTTTGTGTTTAACCCATCCCTCCGGGCAGAAGTTCCCAAAGGGGTAAGAAATATATCATAAAATAAATAAATGTGAACCTCAGATTAAATGAATAAATGTAGCAAGACTTAAAAAGTGATTTATTGATAAACTTGTTTCTTATCCAGTACATGATTTAGATATTAAATATGTCACTCAAATGGGAAAATGAACCATTTCATAATTGAATATAATTTAAAATTATAAATTAATTTAATGTAATAAAAAAAATCATGATCTAAAAAAGATATATCCTTACCCCACTTTGCATTTATAACTAAATTCAGAGTAAAGTAACCACATGTGTATTTAGGGGGTCGCCAGTCCATCTTATTGTGATTTCGGGGGTTACAGGCTGATATGTTTGGGAACCTGCCCCCCATTTGCAAGTTTAAAAATACATAATTCCTTAATCTTCTTTTCAGACCAAAATTACTGCTGCTTTTCAACAAAGTTGGGGGGAAATTAAGGGCCCCAACGTTCAGTTTTTGCCCAAAGGCTCTTGCCAGGGGGCATACCAGCCATGCAGTGACCAGCATGTGAAATTAAACACTAAAGAAACCACGAATTTAGAAGGAGTTGAGTTAAATAAATAAATAAATAAATAAATAAATAAATAAATAAATAAATAAATAAATAAATAAATAAATACTGGTTTTATATTTAGTCTGTATCATTTGGGTCAGTTGTTAGAACAATCTCAGCTCCAACCCAGGAAGACTGTCCTGGCAACCTGCCCATATTGATCCATCCAGAATGATGACAAATAACCAGCTCGTGTGACACCGCACACAGCGTCACGCATTAAGTCTAAAACACTGAACCTCTCTGTTTATGTTTGGAACACAAACAGCATAAGGAAAACAGTTTTACTTGTATTAGTGGAACTCAGTGGGCACTGACCAAGAGAACGACGGATCCGATCTACACCAGGAAACCCGACCAAAGAGCTGTCGGGACCCCGCAGGTGTTGCCTTACCTGTAGGCGCGGTTCGAAGCACGAGGCGGGATGCGGTAAACGTTGACATCTGGTTTAACGCACAGGATCGACTCATACTCTCCCTCGGCCGCCATCTTATCCCGAGTACTGAAGTGGGAGGATCGCGGCCGTGAGTCATTTATTCAGCTCCTTTCTAACGGGGTTCGTGTGTATGGCAAAACGTGTTATTATGTAATGATGAGACGCGCTCCTTGAATCAGGTTTATTAATGCGGTTGATTTGAAAGATGGACGGTTCATCAAACCTTCTACTTCTATTATCAATACTAAAATTTTAAGAAATCTATGATAGTCAAAATTAGGACAAATTATTTGAAATTCCCAATTCCTCCTAAATATAAAGAATTACAATTTAAAATAATAAATAACATATATCCTTCAAATGAGTTTTTAAGAGAGAGATTTAAGTTTAATGTTGAGAATTGTGGCTTTTGTACAACTCAATTGGAAACAACTAAACATCTTTTTTATGAATGTAAAGAAGTATTAAACTTATGGGATCAACTTCGAAACTTTCTGTCTTCTAAAACAATAAATTTAGATTTTATTTCCTGGCAAAACATTCAATTCGGTTTATCCATTAAAGAAAAAAATTTGGAATTTTTAATCAATATTCTAATAATTGTAACAAAGTATTATATCCATAAATGTCGCTATGCAAAATGCTCCCTCTCAATCTCTGCTCTCAAAAATGAACTTTCCCTTTTCAAAAGATGTCTGAGAAAGATGCAAAATTTAAATGCAATTAAATTGTTTGAGTTAATTGAAGAATTTCAGTTGGTAGTCCCCACTGATTAATTTACTTTAACTACTATTATTATTTTATTTATTTTTATTTATTTTATTTTATTTTATACTTTGTTCCAGCCTGTGCATTTAATTGTATTTTTCAAAAGCAGGAGTTGTGATATTTCTTCTTGTATTGAAATATTTGTTATTGACTTGTTATTTGAGATTGTTATTGTTTTCTTATATATTCAATAAAAAAAAAAGAAAAATCTATTATCAATACTTCAAACATAGATCATATTAACAATTTCAAAAGTTTTTGTCCTAAGTAATTCTTACAGGACTCTGATACCAAGAAGCACCAGTTCATGTAAAATATAACCAATATTTTAGATAGCAATAATTATATCCACTATTTTATTCAAGCTTTTTATACGTACCTTTCAAGATATTAAAATGAGGAGTAATTTTCCATGTCTCTTACGTATTTTTAGAAACTTTAAAAACATATATTTTTGTTTTTAACCACTTGTCCCAATTTTCTGGGTTTTTTATGCCCTTTTTAACATGAATCATTGTTTGACGCTTTTACTACCATGTCTGTCACTTTGCTGCTGTTCCACTATAGTTTCCCCATGACGGGACAATAAATAGATTTTCTATCCTATTCTATTCTGTTCTATTCTATTATACTGATCAAAATGCTATCTTAGCACTACATGCTTGACTCCTTTTTAAAAAATTGTCTCATATTTTCCTTTGGCATCTAATCTTGGGTTCATATTTTATTTTTATCCTCTGACCAAATACAGTGAAGGCTTTATTTTAATTCTTATTTTTCTTCTTTAGGTAACTTTGACTTTGTTCTTTAATCAATTAATAGGCCTCAATCTCTAATGTACAATTTTGTTGTAATAATGCTTTCTGTTTCAAGCTTTGTTAATTATTTGGTGTTTTTATAGTGGTTTGTAGGCTAAATAAAGATGGCTTGTTTAGCATGATCACCATTTGTACAAAAAATGCAAAGGTTTCTATCAATTTTTTTCAGTTTTCTGTTCTATAATTTGACTAAATAATGTCTGATTTATGAAAAGTTACCGTAATCATAAATAAACCCCTATAGTCTCTGAATTATAGATCAAATAAGGTAGCGATTTTGAAGTATTATTTCTATTTTAAACTGAGAATAACTGATAAATGTTCTACATAAATGTTTATAGTTTCATACTTGAGGAAAAGGAAATAATTCCCCACACAGTCCCTGGGTCCCTTTTCTGCTGTTTTATAATGCTTAATTCCTCAATGCACATTTAAGGACATGGATGAAGATATTAATATAAAAACAAATTCATTTAGAAATGGTCTAACTTAAAAGAAAATTTAGGGAGTCCTATTTTTTTTTTCTACAAAAGGGAAAAAAGCGTGTGAGCTTTGCTGTATTTTCAATTCAACGTAGCTTTTTTACATTTGTAAACATACAGAGTCTGTAGCTAAACAGATTTGGGGGATCAAGCTGCATGTACTTTGTTCAAACAAAAAGACCATAATGCATTCATGAACCATAACACTGTACAGAATCACACATATATATGAAAAACAACACTGAATATTGAAAATTACTCAGTAAGTTTTTCAACAAGTATTCATAGGTCTCTCCCACTGGTGCTTTTATAAGTGTAGTAACTCCCTCTTTCAGCTTAGGACCAATCACACAGTATTTGTCGGACACCACCCTCCAGAAATGAATTCCTGCTGACAGTAGGCCTATAGTACCCTTAAGTCATAATTAAACAAAGCAAATTTGGTCGAAATAATATTTTTTTTTCTATTTTCTATTTCGTCAATCCTACATATCAAATGTTGGCAGAAATTCAAGAATGTGTTTGCAAAAAGATATAGGTATTAGATTATATCCTACAACGCCCTGCCATACAGGGAGCGATTTACTATTAAACGGAGTTAGAAGAGGATATATCAATACTTTATGTTTAGAACAAAATAGTATCATAAAACACAAAAGGCTGGTTTGTCAAAGAACCCCAAACAGTAATAATAATAATAATAATAATAGGATACCTAAATGAGAGTGGTGGTGGTGGAAGTGGGGGTAGGGGATTGAGACGGGAAGGTCCTGATATCTGCGGAAGCGGAAACCGTTGCTTCGTGTCGCCTGCTGGAAGATTCCTGAATATCTCTGGTCAGTGCTTTCTTTTCGCCTTAAATACACCTGTTTTAGGGGAGTGGGGATCCTCTTTCATTCACTGTAACGGTAAACACCAAACAGAGCCAGTTTCGTGGCCAAAAATACATGAAATGATTGGTGTTTTACTTCATGTGTAAACTAATTCCTGCAAACTTGACAGCAGCTGTTGACCGTTAGCCATATTGACGCTAGCGCTCCGTCTTGGTCGCTCTCCGAGGTGCTGAAATAAGATTCTTCAGCGATATCCTTATGATCGCGGCTGCATTTAGCCACTTGAGATCAGCATTACCTCCATGTTTTTCCACAGTATTACAGGTTTATAGTTTATTGTAACACGCAGGCTAACTAGCGTTTAGCTTAGCAAATCATTTGGCAAACCTAGAGGATCTGTTTGCCGCAGGAGAAAACAAGCTGAGATCTCCACCAGAGATAGTTTAGCTTCACTGTTATTATTATAAGGCCGATACAAATATTGCCTCAGCACCTTCTAACGTTGGCTGGTTCTGTGCAGCTACCTGGATCTGGTTTCTCCCTCACTGACACCATCCAGTAAAGACAGGAGGCAGAGAGAACATCAGGATGAAAGGTCACTGATCTACAATCTGCAAAGCAAGCCATTAAACCCAACACTTCAACAACAGAGGCTGAATTAAAACAAGGTATCTGCTGTTAAGATTGTATGTGTGATTAAAGGTAGCCTACTGATGTTTAGTTCTCTCCAGCAGTGTGTTTAGGACATCTTTCTTACTTTGCTGTTTCTTAAACAAGCAGAGTTGGCTGCATTCTTCACCTCCACTGGACAACATGACGTCTTCAATGCTTCGAAGACAGCTGAAGAACCTGGTCCAGAATTACTCTGAGGCTGAGGTTAAGGTAAAATATGTTTGTATACTGATTTTGTTGATTCTTTGTGTCTTCAGCTGACATGCAAGTTTCCAAGAGAAAGGGACAATCTAAACTATTTCAAAGTATTTGTGTATTTTATCTGCTTGGATATAATGATAAAATGTGGTTAAAGCAGAAATTTAATATTGTTTATTTTAATGTAATAATGCATTTGATTTTCATCCCTTATTGTTCTATTCTGCGCTATTTTAATCTTAGCAATGTTTGTTTCATAAACCATTACTGCCAAATAGTCTTTGTCGTATTTCTTACTAGACTAAAACTGAATAGAAAGTCAATAAAGTCAAGCTGAAATCTTACTTCATTTTTAAGGACTATTTATTAATAATGACTTTTCATTTTGGATTTAATATTTCCTTCATGTTCTTCTTCTCAGCTGCTACAACTGTATTTCACTGTGCGTCACTTAAAGTTCACCCTTTGCTTCCTTTGCAGGTCAGAGAAGCAACGTCCAATGATCCATGGGGTCCGTCCAGCTCTCAGATGGCTGACATCTCTGATCTTACCTACAATGCAGTGGCTTGCAATGAGATCATGACAATGCTGTGGAAACGGCTGAAGGATGACAAGAACTGGAGACACATCCATAAGGTGAGGAGGAGGATGAGAAATGGTAAATTAAAATGGAACCACTTTTCTATGTAGAAGTATATATTTCAGTTTATCTAAATATTATTTTAAAGACTAATTATATGCCTTTCTAACATGCCGTGTTTGACCCTTTAATACTTCAAATGTTGCAATCCTATGTTTTTGTTTTTCTTCACCTCCTCCTGCAGCATTTTGTAAATTAATACCAAAAAATATCAACATTGAACCTTTCTATATTAGAGACCATTGGTTACCATTGGTGTATTTTTATTTATGTATTTCATCTTAAAAACTGCTTCTTAAAATTTACTCTTGCATTAAAAGATACAAAAGTACTTATCAAGATTGATTGTGTTGAGTGAGTAATGTGTTATAAAAATTGTTCTAAGAAGAAACAAGATAAAAACAGAATTATGAATTATTTTCATAATCATATTTGTCTACGTAGATTGTCATTGTGTGCATACAGACAATTGCAGCATCCATTCATCCATCCATTTTCTGTCACGCTTATCCCACGCGGGGTCACGAGGGATGCCTGTGCCTATCTCCAGCTGTCTACTGGCTAGAGGCGGGATACACCCGGGACAGGTCCCCAGTCTATTGCAGGGCAACACAGAGACAAACAGGACAAACAACAATTCACACACACAGTCACACTTAAGGACAATTTAGAGAAGCCAACTAACTTAACAGTCATGTTTGTTGACTGTGGTAGGAAGCTGGAGTAACCTGTGGAACCCACACATGCTCAGGGAGAACATGCCCCGTTGGCAGCATATAGGACAAAATTACTTTTTAGCAGGATGTGACTAAAAATAAAAAAAATCTGCCTATTACTTTGTAAAACACAACTGCGAAAAAAAAAAAAATCCACACGAAAGTGAAGGTAAAGTGCAGATATTTTTAATTGTTAAAGCGAAATTTAAAATATTCGGTGATCAGATCTTTTTTATAACACAACATTGGTTAGACAGAGGTTTTTCATTTTCCCATTGACATTTTATGGTTTGATTTTTATATCTGAAATTAAGTCCCCATTATTGTGTTTTATTTATTTGAATCTCCATTCCTAAACCTGTGGGGCAAACTCCTCAGCAGTCTAGTCTTATGAGCTTAGTAGTGGCCATCTGTTACTATTTACTTCTGCTCACTTTTTTAGATATGAATAATCAGTTTTGTTCCTTTCCTCGCTGTTTGACTATAGAACTTAGAGTCAAAAGGAAAAATCTAAAAAATGGAAGTTTTTGCTATTTAATTGGTAATGTGGTCAATGTTTCTTCCCAGTCTCTGACTCTATTGGAGTACCTCCTGAAGACAGGTGATGATCGCGTGATGCTGAAAATGAAAGAGAACATCTACATCGTCAAAGCTCTAACAGAGTATCGCTTTGTGGAAAAGGATGGCAAGGATCAGGTGATACTTGTTTTCATCTGAAGGGTTTAGCTTCCTGCCTGGTCAGTTAATGGAGTCCCTATTATTGGGTCTAAACTATTTATGACTCTTTTAGTTCATAACCTCTTAGCCCGGTGTAAAGCAATGTTGTTATACTATATTACGCACAATCAATAAAGGCCTTTGAAGAAAATTAAACCTTTGTAGGTCTTGTATATAAAATAATTTTAAGTGAATAATGGTTTTATATACAAAATTAAAATTTTATCATTGATCTTTGGTTTATAAAGTGTTATTAATGGTTTTCTAGACACGTCTTTCATTTTGCAGTAGTCACAGTAGTATGATATCATGGTATGTTAACCTCGGAAATAGTTTTCAGTCTCAAGGTATGAGTAAAAAAACTTAAAACCAAAATGTTTATATGCTCCAAGTTTCCTTAATCAGTATTAAAAATATCAACAATTCTGCTGTGAAACAAAAATAACACATTTTACTGTTGTAATAATTACCTTTAATAATTACATTTAATACAGACTTATATTAAAAACTAGTTAAAATTTATAAATATATATATATATAAAAAAAAAAACTAAAACTGTTTTCTCACCCCTCGTGGGGTGGTATGTGTCATCCTCAAGCTCGGGTCCTCTACCAGAGGCCTGGGAGTTTGAGGGTTCTGCGCAGTATCTTAGCTGTTCCTAGGACTGCGCTCTTCTGGACAGAGACCTCTGATGTGTTACCTGGAATCTGCTGTAGCCACTCTCCCAGTTTGGGGGTCACAGCCCCCAGTGCTCCAATTACCACTGGCACCACTGCTGCTCTCACTTTCCACATCTTTTCTAGCTCCTTCTTCAGTCCTTGGTATTTCTCAAGCTTCTCGTGTTCTTTCTTCTTGATGTTGCTGTCGCTTGGGATTGCCACATCTATCACTACTGCCTTCTTCTGCTGTTTGTCGATCAACACGATGTCTGGTTGGTTAGCCATCACCTGTTTGTCAGTCTGGATCTTGAAGTCCCATAGGATCTTAGCTCGGTCATTCTCAACTACCTTAGGAGGTGTCTTCCATTTTGACCTTGGGACTTCCAGCCCATACTCATGGCAGATGTTCCTGTACACTATGGCAGCTACCTGGTTGTGGCGTTCCATGTATGCACTTCCTGCCTGCATTTTACACCCTGCTGTTATGTGCTGTATTGTTTCAGAGGCATCTTTGCACAGTCTGCATCGGGGGTCCTGCCTGGTGTGGTAGACCCTGGCCTCTATTGATCTTGTACTGAGTGCCTGTTCTTGTGCTGCCATGATTAGTGCCTCTGTGCTGTCCTTCAGTCCAGCCTTTTCCAGCCACTGGTAGGATTTTTTGATATCAGCCACTTCTTCTATTTGTCTGTGGTATACGCCGTGCAGCGGCTTGTCCCTCCATGATGGTTCTCCTTCCTCTTTCTTGTCCTCACTTTCGGTTTTCTCCTGCCTGAGGTACTCACCAAGCCATTTGTCTTTGGGGACCATCTTTCTGATGTACTCCTGGATCTTAGTTGTTTCATCCAAGACAGTGGTCTTGACACTCACTAGCCCTTGGCCTCCCTCGCTACGCTTGGTGTACAGTCTCAGAGTGCTGGATTTGGGGTGGAACCCCCCATGCATTGTGAGAATCGAACCCCGGTCACCTGTGCCGGAGTCGTTACCTACCGAGCTATCCAGTTGCTATATATATATATATATAGCCAATTATATAGCTGATATTAAAGGTGGTTAATTACGCAGACTAGTAACTGGATCTTGTTGGCTAGATACCCTTATAACTGTAATTAAAACAGATTTACCATGAGTAAATAGATTAGATAATGTTCTCTTTTTTAAGCTTCGTTCAGGCATCTCATAAAAAATAACTTTACACCACAGCAGCAGCAAGATGTGATTTAATTTTTCTACTTTTCTGCATTAGATCTTTAAAACCTTGATAGCAACTGCCTGATTTCTACTCAGTAACTATGTAGAGAAAGTAAAGAATAATGTATTTTTTCAGGGCCTGAACGTAAGAGAGAAGGCCAAGGTTGTTCTTGTTCTTATGGAGGATGATGAAAAACTAAAGGCAGAAAGAGAATTTGCAGTGAAGACCAGAGAAAAGACATCCAAAGATTCTGCTGGTGAGATATTCTAAATTAAAACCATAACTGCTTAATACGTTTTTTCTCTTCTGGTCTTTATTCATGCGTGAATCTCAAGAGAAAGTCTTTCCTATCTCTTCCTAATAGCATCATCCACAGACAAAGTCAAGGACCCCAACTACAAACCTGTCTATGTTCCTGGAGCTTCAGGGCTTCCTAACTTAGACAACATTCCATCTGTGGCTGACTTGACTGCTTCTTTCGCTGCCCGCAAAGAGGAGCGGCTTCGACAAGAAGCAGAGAAGAAGGAGGCTGAGAGACGGGTGAGTTAGATAAAACAAGAGTATGCAGTGAGCTGTCAACTGGGAAGTTTTGTAAATTTAAAATTATAATATTTAACCAGAATTGATTATGTTTATTTATCACCAAAACAGTAGAATACCATCTGATCACCCGCCTGTGTGTTTTTCCTCTTTTAGGCCAAGATGAGCGAAGATGAGCTTAAATGGGAGGATGCTGCAAAAGCTGATAAGTTAAAAAGTGATGCATGGGGCGGGGAGAAAGAAGAGGAGGTGAAAACAGATCCTTGGGGAGCTTCAAAAGAACCTAGTACTGATCCTTGGGGTGCTCCAGTAAAACCCGAAGATCCATTTGTTGCTGAAAAAACTGATGAGGATCCATTCAAAGCCCCAAAAGACAAAGAGGATCCATTCACTGACCCTAAAGATAAACCAGATCCCTTCAGTTCTTCCAATGGGGATCCATTTGTTGCTCCAAAGGAGGATCCATTTGTTGCTCCAAAGGACGATCCATTTAATGCTTCAAAAGAGGATCCATTCATTGCTCCAAAGGACGATCCATTTAATGCTTCAAAAGAGGATCCATTTATTGCCCCAAAGGATGATCCATTTGTTGCTCCAAAGGACGATCCATTTAGTGCCCCAAAGGACGATCCATTTGTTGCTCCAAAGGACGATCCATTTATTGCTCCAAAGGACGATCCATTTGTTGCTCCAAAGGACGATCCATTTAGTTCTGCAAAGAGTGATCCATTTGGTCCAAAGGACGACCCATTTGTTGCTCCAATTGACGATCCTTTTCTTACTTCAAAGGACGATCCTTTTAATTCTCCGAAAGACGATCCTTTTAATTCTCCGAAAGACGATCCATTTAAAGCTCCTAAGGATGATCCATTTAATGCTCCAAAAAATGATCAATTTAGTGCTTCAAAACAAAATTTAAAAGATGATCCATTTGATGTTCCCAAGAATGATTCATTTGAAGACTCAAAAGGTCATCCATTCACAACAACAAAAGGTGATCCTTTCTGTGCCTCAGCCAATGATCCTTTCACTGCTTCACTATCTTCACCTCCAAAAGAAGAACCATTAGCAGAGCCAATGATGTCTAAAGCCGACTCATTCACTGGCAACACAACACCACCTAAAGCAGCGTTTTCATCACCGACTAATTCTGTTCAAAACGATCCTTTTGCATCACCAACAACACCAAATAAAGAGGACCTTTTTTCTACAACAGATACAAAAGATGCCCCCATTACAGCTTCATCAGCACCATCAAAGGAGGATCCATTTACAGTGCCATGTAGTCCACCAATAGAAGCTGCTTCAGACCCCTTCAGTGCCCCTATTTTGGGATCCCCCCAAGAAACTGTAGATACATGGGGAGCTCAGACCAGTTCTCCACCTGCCACAGGCTCTGATGCTTGGGGGGAACCAAGTGTTTCAAAGGAATCAAAGGGTGGCGATCCCTGGGGGGGCGGCCCTAGTGTCTCATTATCACTTGGTGATTCAGACCCATTTGCAGATCCATCCAAACCAGATGATGACCCATGGGGAGCTCCAGGTAAGAAACTATTAAATAAATTTGTGAGCTATCATGACGTTTTTCAAACCTCGCAATCTAATAATTTCTTAACTGTCTTATATGAGACTAAGTCGTGGGTAGCAGTCTCAGCAAAGACTCGTAGCAGAGCTCATTCACCCTCTGAATGGCCGCCACTGTGAAGTGTTTTTACCTTCTCTGTAACCAGCCTGGCTAATGAAATGGAACCCAGTCTCTACTTCCACCAGGGAAGGTTTGATAGCTGGAGGAGATCCTCAGGTCCGCTGCTTCTTATACCCACTTCTAACAGCTTCTTATACCCACTGCAAACAGTTTGAGGAAGGCATTACTTCCCACTCCAGACACACCTGACAGTTTGCCAAAATCACTTTGAGGCAGACCAATAGTCTTTCTCCAAGGTCCCTCTGAACTCCACCCAGGACCAAGTTTTTACCCGTTTACTGTCTCAGGACCCCAACAGACCTACTAAGTTCCTTCTTTAGATCATCCATCACCTCTTTGTCTCTTCCCTTGGGCAATTCCATTGCACAGCCTATCTCAAGGACCTTTGCTTCTGACTACTGTTCAATCCGCCTAGCGTTGTCCTTAATGGCTCTCCCTGCAGGTAGTGGGCCTACTGGAATACACCTCATGTCTGGCAGGTCCCAGGTGCTCACTGCCAAACCCCTACCCTAGGCCCTGCTCCAAAATGAGGTCCTAGGTCAATTAAAAACCTAAGTGTGATCTCAGAAATGTAGTTTTCAATGGAGCCTCATACTGGTTAATAATGCTGTGGTTTAAAAGCTATCTACTCATGTGAACAATACGCTGGCCGGGAGATGCAAACATGCTTCAAATATTAACCCACAGCAAACACAAAAAAAGGTTAACACACTAACACATGCGAAAAAGAATCCAAAGTAAATAGAGGGGGCCACTGGACCGCCGGCAACCCATTTACAGAGGCTTTGGTCCTTTTTACCCAGCCATCAACGGTTTGAGCAACCTGGTGACCTTTGCCAATGTATCTTGCCCCTCTTACTCCCATTTCCTGTCTTTCTACTTTCAAAAATAACTAAAGATAAAGGCCATAAAAATCTTTTAAAAATAAAGTAATAAAAATAAAGTAAGAGAACACTGTAAATACAGTACATAAATGATTTTAACACATGAAAAACATGATAAAAAGAAAAAAGCAGCTTGATTTAAGCCCGCAGTTGTTTTTGCTTCTTGTATCATTTTTCCTTTCTATCTGTTTTGTGTGTTACCATTATTTCTGTGCTCTTTGGATAAATGTAGTGGGTACAGAAATGAGTGGGAACATCTCCAAAACATGTGATTCAAATTCATTGTCAAGGCTCAGAACAGAGGACCGAAAATTTACGCAAGACAGACAGTGGGAAAACACGGGCTGTGGGTCTGCAGAAGCAGCGGCTTGGGCATCTATCACAGGAATGTCTCTAGGGGGGAAACACAGGTTAGTGACCACGATAATCTGACGGAGGATGATTACACATGCGTGAGTCACTAACCTAGTTTGACAGTTCAGTCCGTGCCCAGAGAACAAGGAGAATTCCAGCCGGTCGGCTGACAAGGCGTGGCGGACGCAGCAAGAGTGTTTCAGATGCGGAAACCTAGAAGGGTGCAGAACTGACAGGAGATTAGACCCAAGCAGACAAAGGAAGACATGATAATCCACAGGGTGAGGTCAAGAGGCAGATCCAGGTTCAGTCCACAGAAGAATCCAAAAGGAGTCTAATGACAGGTCATGCTAACAGATAATACAGGAGCAGGCAGGCTCAAAGTTCCAAATACAGAGACAGGTTATGATCAGAACAGAACATTACAAGTAACCCTAGAAAACTCTCAAAACCAAAGGATCAAGAATAATCTGGCACTGATGGCTGGCACCTTGCAGCTTAAATAGAGGCAGGAGTAGGTGGATCAGATAAGCAGTGATGAGAAACAGAGCAAAGCTAGACAGGTGAATGAAATGAGCAATCAAGCCAGCCATCAGTGCCAAAATCATGACATTTATAGCTCATTCACAGGCTTTGGGGTAACGTTATGACATATTAGATAGTTTATTATTTATAAACCTTTTCTTCAAAGCTTCTGTGATTTAGGCAAATTGACATGAAATTAAATTCTTTTGCATAACAGCTGCTGTAGTAACCCACTATTGCAGCTTAGTGGGTCCAGTAGGCCATTCCATTGGACTTGCTGTCAACTTTTGTGATATTAAGAAAGATATTGAGAAGATAATTATACTAAAGATAACTTGAAAATTTAAATTTAATTTAATTTGAATGTCCGACATTCTCTATTCATATTTTATTGAGCTCAAACTGAGTCCATTACAACAGGAGGGGAACAGGTGGCCTGCCTCACAGAAAGTAATGCAATGCTGACTAACGAACACATTTGGAAAATCACACTGAAACAAACATGCATCTGTTTGGACTTGAGAGAAAACTGAAGCATGTAACAACCTACCTGGGTTTTCAAATTTTTATCCTCAATCAGCAAATCCTGTCTTCTCTTTTAATCATAGCTGAACTATTTCCATAACCAGAATATGTGCATCTCTAAGGTTTTGTGTTGTTTGGGGGGTAAGAACTGACCATTTTTAGAGAGGTTCAGAGTTTTCCTTTGCTTTGTGGCACACGTAATTAAGTTCTCCTTGCATTCATATTCATAACTTCTGAGTAGCATTACATGGTTATCCTTCCTGCTGCAGACAGGTATTATATTGTAACTGCTTTATTGAAAACCACTTGGTATCTTTCACTGAATCTTATCTAATGAACACACAGCTCTGAGAAGCTATCTGTTTATTGTCTGTGAATTTGTACTGTTGATTAAATCCAGGGTCGGATAGAATTTTGTGTTTTATATGGTTGCCAATCTCTAAATCAGTCCATCTGACTGAATAAAATAATTGCCATCAAAAATCAAAACGATATTTCTAGGACCAGTTTATATACTTACATTCTGTACCTTGAGAAACCGGTATACAATTAATTTATTTACCATTCATTTATAATATAGTTTGCTTTAGTTTTAAACCTCTGCTTCTGTTCATTGACCTCTTTAGCTTCAGCTCCAGTAGCATCAGATGATGCATGGGGAACACCTGCTCCCCCTTCAGACTCCTCCCCATCCAGTGACCCATTTGGAGACGGGACATCTAAAAACAACGATCCTTGGGGTGCACCGAGCAACACAGGTGGCAATGGTACAGGTAAAGTATGGCTGCTTTATGTATCTATTTCTGTGTCCATCAATTTCATTAAAGCAAAGCTTCATTGTCTGCTTTTAAAATAACCTTAAAGTTGTTTTGTTTTGATTAGATTGACCCACGTCTAAGCCATCCACTAAAATCCATGCATGATTTCTGCTTTTATTTCTGTCTTTATTTGTGTTTGAAACTATTATTCTGTGATCGTATGATCACAAAAAGAAAAAGAATTTTGCATGCAAAACTTTGTTTCCTTTAATCCTTCTACTTCACATCATCTATGATTAGGCATCGAGCAGCTAACAAGCAATTAACCCTTTCTTCCACTTTGCTCTCTCTTCCCCTCTGGCCTGCCGCCTAAAGAAAACACCTTTTAGAGTAGCATTGGACCTTTATTTTATTTCAGGTAAGAAAACCACAAAAGAAGAAGAGTTTCGAAGAAAGACTGCTTCATTTTTGGGCTCTACGGGGGCATCACTGGTGGACTTAGATAATCTGTTCACTCTGAACCCCCAACCCAAACAACAGCCTCTCCCCAACATGCTCACTGCTCGAATACAAGCCATCGGTAAGGTCAGACAAAAGCCAGAGCTCTGGATCACAAACACTCTTAGAGACTCAGCCTTTGCACGGATTACTTGCAGATCACTTGATTATAAAGAAGACGTAATTCATTTAACTGGGAACCAAAACATTTTGTTTCTGTTTAGAGAATGGAGCTGAGATTGTGTGACTAACAGTTATCAATGTGTTTATATGGGAACGATTCTGATCATTTTGTACCAACCCACCCCTTCTATGTGGTCTTGCTGTTGCATATAGATGTAGGCTATGTAACATAATATGTGTGTTAGAGTCCTTCTGTAAAGTCACCCTCTATAGGAAGTAGCATTCAGTAACTTACCAACATGTTTTCATCCCTCTCCCTGCTCTGCTTTGGTGCACTTTCTCTTGGCTGGAATGTTTCGAACCCTCCCCGCTCCCCCCGCCTTCTCTTATCACTTACACTCCTTTCCCAGGCACATTCAAAGACATGACATCTGGTCCCTTGGTCGGATCAGGGGCTTTGGCTCAAACTTTAGCCCCAAACTATAATCCGTTTGGTTGGAGTTCAGCACCGACTGATGGTGCAGTTCATCCTGCTGTCGGAGCCGCAGGTCGCTCTGATGAAACTCTCTGGTTTATGGAGCCCATGCATTCTCGGGGAATGCCTTGTTCTTCTCTGGATATTCTGCATGCAGCTCAGGACGCTCCAAAATCCGGAACAGAGCCGCCTGCCATGCAAAGGGGAGTGGGAATGTTGGGTTCTGAATATACGGTGGGGAATATCATGGGAACAGGAGATGCTCCAGCTAGTTTGTTTGGAGCAAATGCAGCAGATGTAAATCCATTTTTAAGTGTTTCGCCACAGACAAGAAACGAAGACATCATATGCAGTGATTCAAATAAAACAATCACCAACAGCACCAATCCATTTCTGATTTAACAGTTTACCGATTCTTCCACTGAGTCAAACTTTATTCCTATTAAAGATCAGGAACAGTCACTTAAACGGCCACTACAATTTGATTGACAGGTCATGACATCCAGCTTTTATTTTCATAACAATTCATAGATGTTGTGTTTAAGGCCTGTTTCCATCTGTGCCTGAAAATGATCTTAATGGTTCAACATGAACAATGTTCAGGTTCTCCTTATGAATTGAGAAATAATCCTTCATTTAAATCATATTTAACGTTATTTGATTTCCTTTCAATGTCAAAAATGTAAAACCTGTGTATTTCAGCTGATTATCAAAAAAATAACGAGCATATTATTTCTTTAAATTGACAAGAATGACATTAATATTTATAGGATTTCTGAGTCTGAGAAAGAAAACTTTTCAGTTTGTTTGGGGAAACATCTATGTGATTCCATTGTCAAAAGAAATATATTTGTTTTCTTTAAGTGTGCTCCGACCTGGTGTGTGTGTGGGTGCGTGTGTGGGTGGGTTAGTGGGTGGGGGGGAGTATATAGTTCTATATCAATATATATTGTGCTGATGTAAATAATGATAGTGGATGTAATTACTCCTAAACCTTGAAATATACTGTAAATCAAAGTGTTACAATCAAGATGAAGTATTTATGGATCTAATTATTAATTTAAGCTTCATCAGTTACAGTTGCAAGTGAGTGGCCTCCAACAAAAAACAAATCAGGTGAACTGATGACAGTTTGCTGGTTCAAAATCCAGTTTTCTGACTGTGGCTTCATCCTGTTTCCTATGCTGTATAGTGGAACATGCCTGCTCTGTATGTCCCAACAGTAGAGGAATAATGATCGCTTCGGTTTCTTAATTAAAAGCTGAATTTGATCCTATTGCTTTCTGTTACATGCATGAACTCTGAGCACAACATCCTATCATAGATAAATATATTTACGTGTGTGTAAGAGTGAGTTTTGCCTTTTCATTATTAGTGTGTGAGTGAAAAAGTATGTAATTAAAACATGTTTAAAGTGATCTCAGTTTATGAAGTTGAGGCCAGCGACATGGAGCTGCTTTAACCTCTGATGTGGGAACAGTAGAAGGGGAGAGGACTGAGTGCTTAAAGCTTCAGCTGAACTGAGCCATGCTGGTAGCAGATTATTATTTATTTCAACTGCACTATTATAGTCTGAAGAAAATTTAGATAGAACGAAATCTGGTGGATGTTCTCTTGATCTTCTCTCAGTCATCCTAAATACGTGAAGGTTTGTAAACCCTTGACATCATGGTGAAGATGTTTGAGCTGTTCTCACTGAGCCTCAAACAGCACAGAGAAAAAAAGTCCAACCTCTGTTCAAACTTGGGATTTTTGGCTGCGTGGTCGTTAGTCTTTGGGATTTTTACATTTTATTTTGTATGAAATCTATTTATTTTGCTGTGTATTTACTTTTAAAACTGTGATGTAAACTGTGACAGTGTACAGTAAATTGGAGAAATAAATGGTTTATGTTGCCTCTAACATCATGCTTTGTCTAAATGTGTCCTATAAACAACTGAATGTCATCTTTATTTACTCTGATAATCAAAGCGACTTCTTTACAGGTAAATACAAAATTGCTTTTTTTACTGTTTATTAAACAAAATACATCTAAATATAATCAGACATTTCAACTGAGGCCTGGATGATTGAAGCAGCTTAATATGAACTTATAGTCTGTATTATTTTTTTTTTTATGAACTGAAAATGTGGGGGAGATGAAGGACTCAAATACACTGCTCTTTTTTGATGCTCACAAACTTAAATAGAATAGAAAATCCCTTTATTGTCCCACAATGGGGTTTTTCTGGTGTTTACAGCAACAAAAACGTTATAGAAAAAAAATTGGTCAAACAAATTTGGACCTTAGAAAAATGTATAGATGCAGAAACTAAAAAAAAAAAAAAAACAGCTGGTTAAAAAAGTTAACACCTGTGTGGCGACACACTGATAGCACATCAGGCTTTGCCTCTCCCTTCTGGGCGGGAGGGGCAAAGCCAAGTGAGCACATACATTAAAGACCTAAAGTCTAGTTCCACTCTCATGTTCACTTTAAATTTGTTTTTTTTATATTCCTCCATAGTGGATTCACTCCTGCTATTAAATGACTGGAGTTGGGAGTAAATACTTAAAGGGTACCAATACTACTTCAAAATTCAGCAGAAGAAAAGGAAGGACGCCCTCCCAGCTTATACTGTTTTAACTAAATAATTTTGCAAAGAATATTCTTGGAGCCATCAGCTAGTCTGACATCAGTCTGACCGAAGTTTGCTTTACTCACTTCCTCTACGTTAGAACACCACATTCCTGGATTTCCCAACTTGGATTCAAAAGAGAATGTGAGGAAGGAGATAAAGGTTAGGATGATTACAAAGAGCACTTCCATAAGGTTGGAGTTTATTCTAATACATGAAATCAGATTTTAAGTGAAAAACACGTAAAAAGCATTTATTAAAAAAAAAAAAAAAAATCCCTGTAAAGCCAGTAGAAGCCTTCACATTGATTACGAAAACAGGCCTTAACAAAGTCTTGACTTAGATTTTTTTATTTTCTATCAGTTGATACCTTATATTTTAGAACCATTTGTTCTACTATCTGCTTTCAGGTGCCTCTGTCATTTTAAATCAGAAAATACGCGTCCTTAATAAACAACAGTATTTTTAATCTGTCATAGCAGGACTCATTCTGGATTTTATCTATGACCATAGTATTAGTTTTCACAATATCAAAATTCACCACAAGAGGGCGATATAGACCCGTAAGGACATCAAGTCACTCTTTAAGACTGAAATACATATTTCAACACATGTAAGTGTGTTTAAAGTAAAGCCAGATTTGTGCATAATTTCAAAAATGATTATTTTCAGTAAATAGTTTTTTATTTCTTGTTTTGCATAATTGAAGGTCATAAAAACTGGGGTTAATGGTTCCCTTTTCCATCCTAATGGTGGATGTTATGGAAACTGAAAATGAGTTTACTTTGTAAACTAGTAATTATTCCCGATTTTTGAATTAGATTGATCAAGTGATTAATGGGAGGATAGATAGATAGATAGATAGATAGATAGATAGATAGATAGATAGATAGATAGATAGATAGATAGATAGATAGATAGATAGATGATAGATAGATAGATAGATAGATAGATAGATAGATAGATAGATAGATAGATAGATGGAAACTTTAATTCGAGGTCATTGTTAACAGTAATCATTCCATTCTCATTTATATCCTGATTATTTCTCAGGTGTCAGATAATGTAGAGGCCATTAGAGAATTTTAATTTGAATAATTTCAGGATATCCAGCTAAGCCGGATCTTAGTCGTTCCATTCATGAAGAGAGGGGCTTAAAGTCTAAAAACAGAGAGACATGTCAAATCAGGACAAAATGGGTCAGACAAGTCCCTGTTTCACTTTTATTTTTACTCAAGTAACTGACATAATATAATCCACCGCAAATGTTTCTTTTTTAAGTAACTCAGATCCATAATAATTAGAATTATGGAAACATAATGACTATTTCTCCAGCTGATCAAAAAACCACTTAACTGATTAAACCTCTGTGGGATTAAACTGAAAATGTGTTACAAGGTGCTAACAGCCTTGTCTGGGGCTGAAATCACATCTGCTCTGACAAAATCATCCTTCCTGTTAATTGTTGTTATTTTAAAGTTTATCTTGAGATATGAAACTACATTCCTCTGAATTTGTCAAACATTAGGTACCAGTAAAACTGTTTATTTACTTTTTAACTTTGCAATGCAGATGAAGATGAATAAGAAATGATGACCTCTAATGCTGATGTAAAGAGAGCAACAGCATCCAGTAGGCCAGGGCAGTAGGGGGGTACGTAAAACATCGCTTTTTTCACATGCAGTATTGAATTGATTTTTTTTTATGCATTTCAATGATTAATGATATCACAAAGTAAAGTAGAATATAACTTCAATTCAGTTACATTTATATGATAAATGAGATGTGATGCATCATCTGCTCTTTACACAATCAGTTGCATCTTCACTTTGACATTTCAATCAAAAACTGTAATGGTTCTCCCCTTTTAGACTTCTATTTGAGTTTCTTTCTGAGTTTTCATTTATTTATATCATTATGTTTTGTTGATCTTTGGTTTATTTATTTTGTGCTATATTTAAGCAGTGGTGAATTTGTTTTAGTTACTCTCTGTTGCCCCCTTTTGCGAGTCTCCTTTCCTCTATCTCCCTTCTTGTTACTTCTATCGACACCTGCACCATATTAGCTCATTAGTCCATTCTTTGTTCTGTCCCCCATATATACACCTCCTCTGTAGTCCATCATTGCTGTTTTCTTGTTGTTACTTGGCTCCTCATGTGTGTTTTCTCCTGATGTCTCCTGGTTTTTGGTTTCCTGTATTTTGGTTCTTGAATTGTGTTTCTTTTGTCTTTTTTATTATATCAGCAAAGCTCAGCTCTGCCTCCTAATGTTTGAATTTGGGTCCTCAACCAACACCCACCTATCCTGAAAAAAACTGCATTCTTCTTTATAAAATAAATAAAAAGATCACTTGTTTACATTCACACTAACTCATTATCTAAAGATGACCATCTGGATTCATTCCTTTGATTTCATTTTGTCTTGATATTATTGGTTCATATGCTCAGTTTAAACCAATTACACCTCAAAATGCTGCTTTTTATTGATTTCTCTGGTCACCATCTTGTTTTGGCTGCTTTCTTTCCTCCATTTGTCTCAGATTATGAATCCCTTTATGAGCTTAATTTTGATTCATTTCTACTGGAAAGAACCATTTGGGATTATTTTGCTCAAGAAATTCTGAATCCTGATTTCAGAATTTTTCCCACAAAAACAAAGCTTAGGTTTCAAGGTTTGTTTGGGGAATGCTTTCATCTTTTAATGAAGAAAATGCATTTTGTCTGCTGAGTGGCAAAAATAAAATAAAGGTGCATAAAAAGTGATAGACCTGAAAAATAGGGAAAGGGAATCTATTATTATTGTATATACCTGGTCTGCCATCAGTGAAACTGTCTAATTTTAGTTCTTCCACTGCAGCTTTAAGGCAAAAAAAGACGATCTTGGAGTTACTTATTGCAGCGACTGATTTATCTCCCAGCCAAAGCAAAACCTTTTAATATGAGAGAAATAATATCTTCAGATGGATGCACTTTAGCAGAACTAAGGTCACACAGTGAGCTCTTTAGTTCCTCCAAAGATAAACAACAACCACACCCTGTTTACTCACCATTATAGACCTAGAGACATTACTACTAGTATTACAACTTTATTTATTTATAAATTCATTAATATTACCATTACTGTAATAAAGTATAAAAGAACAGTTTAAATATAAAACAAGTAAAAACTACAAGAACAGAAAGTTAAAGACAACAATGCGATCAACAAAACAGAGTACAAAACAAACAAAAAAAACTAATGCTGGATGGAAAGCCAAAAAATGTATATTTTTTTAAGAGTTTTAAAACTAGACACTGAAGGAGTCTTTCTGATTTTTCAGAGGAAGATCCTTGAAGCAAGAGCTCTGAACCTTCATTTGGAGCTTGGTGCCTCCAGGAGCAGCTAATCAGCTCACCTGAGGCCTCCTGGAGGAGTGGAGAGGAGCACCTCAGGGCCAAAACATATAACATTTAACACAATACCATTTGATAAGTGGTTTATTTGCATGTTTTGAAAAGTAACAGTTAAAGAAATTTCTTAAAATAAAAAGCAAAACTTACCACAGATTTCCAGTATTCACATGATTTTAAAGCTACTAGAGAAATGTTGAAGTACATTTACATCTCAGTTTCTGCCCTAGAAAGCAATAGTCCCTTATAATTTGCTCCTCTATCAATGAAAGCTTTGCAGTTGGAGCTTCGGGTTATTGTAAAAAAATAAAAGAAAATATGAAGCTATAATGCTTAGATGGGTAGAAAGGATTTGACCAAATTCCAGCCAAACACATTCAACCTACGGAAATACATGGCGGTGTTAGTATCATCCTGTGGGATCATGTTGTTGGAAAAATTTAAGTGGCCTTCTCACTGCTGTTTAACTCACCAAATAATAAGAATCTGGGTGAGGAAGGGAAAGAAATGACTCCGGAGCAGCTATCCCTAAAGTTTGATCAAAGATGATGAGAACTGATTCAACAAACTGAACAGAAACCCAACGAGACAAGAATCAGCTGATGTTTACATAGTGCCCTAAAAGAAGAACAAACTCGACTTTTATCCACCATTAAAAAACATACAGTGTGCTCAGAAAAAAGGACCAGCTAAAAGTCCAATAATGTCGTGACAATCAGATCCCTGACTAGTGTGGGCAAACATCTGCCCACAGTTCGCTGCTGAGCTGGATTGTGTTGAAGAGTCAAAGCTTAAGAAGCATCAGATTTTATCACTGGTGCTCTCATCCAGCTCCAAGCTGCTCTATACCATGGTGTTAAATGAATCATTGTGGGTCAGTAAGGTTGGATGGGAGAGAGGAGAGATGAAGTCAACAAGAGGAAGGAAAAAAGCAGCACTGGTGGAACGATGGGCGCAGTTTGAAGAGCGAAGGGGCGGGAAAGTAACAGATGGACTTGGGAGGATTAGAGTGAATCTGGGTGGGTTTCTGCTAGAAGCCGGGAGTGATGAGGAACCACGAGAAAAAGTGAGGAAACCTAAGCCCATTATTCAAGAAAGTTAAAGGAAATAAACTGAACGTATTTGTTCTTCTGTGGTAAGTCACATTTCAGTCATTTATTGCTCTTATTTCTTGCTGTTTGAGGTTTTTCTCACCAAAAGTTGAGCTGTTCCAGCTGCAGCTGGATTTTCTAATCCCACCCCTGAGGGAAAAGATTTTCGCTGATTCTGGCGAGATGCACAGCTCGCACAAAAAAGATCAACCATCACATCTCTGATGTGGACATTGCTGTTTTTTACTCAGTAATTTACTACAAACTCTGCATGTTAGGAATCTTAAATGATTGGATAGGCTAAAGAAAAAATATTTCAGGATGAAAAAAATCTTGATCATGTTTTGGAACCACTTGTTTACATCATAATGGACTTATTCATGATTTAACAAAAAGAAAAATGATATTTTCTTTATAAATGTATCAATTCTTTCAATTAATTTTAAGGCTATTAACATGAAAACTGATGCAAAATAAAGCACATTCAAGATCCTTCATTTATTGTGTTTTAATTTTGAATCTGGAAAGTGTGTGGTGTAATTAAATCTGACTCCTCTAAAGTCCCACTTACATCAATTTATTTTTTGTTCGGTTTATCTAAAAACACCTTAGTTCATTTTGAAATAATTGCCTTTTTGTGGAAACTTCTGAAAAGCCTCATTGGATCTTATTGGTCATTTGATCAGCACATGTTCACTCTGCATTTCCCACAACAAGCTGTTTCAACAATTTGAATGGATGTTGGGAGCTTTAGTATGATTTGTTCTGATGGCATTAAAATTGGTTTTGCTTTTAATTTCAGAATCAGACACTTCCTCCTAATTATTGTTGGTAGAATCTTAGACATGTTTTGAATCCTCTTTATTATCCTCACCGAATGATTTCAGAGGTCTGGGAGTTTAGGTTCGTATGGTATTTTTTTACAGAGCTCATTAATTAAGGCACCCCTGATGTTTTTATACTTTTTTTCAAATAAACCATGTTATTTGAAGGGACCTTAATCATTGTCAGTAAATCTTCCTGATTTCAAAAGCTCATGTGAAGGTTTTTTCTCTTGGCGTTGCTGCTCTTTCCATCCTTTTCTTAACAGGCATGTTCCTTAAAGTAAATTCTTGTTCCTTATAGAAAAGGCTGGTCTACTTCAAATGAGTCTAATGAAGGAAACAAAACAGACCCAAGCAGACCTTCTACTAACTGATGACTCTAAAAGATGCTTCATCCTTGCCTCAATCATCTTCAACATGTCTTAAGAATTTAATTAATCATTTTTATCTTGGTACCAAAGTAGAAATGTGTCCCGGTTTTTATTGATATTCTCTTAAAATCAATCAACAGATGAAGTTAAATAATAAATCTATTTATCCATTGGATTCGAAGCTGAGATAAAACCTGATTAGTGCATCTTTAAAAGTTTAGATATTTTATAGAATCAACAGAAGAATCAGGCAGTCTTGGCAGATTAATTGAAAACAAGCTGCTTCATCTGTTGATTTCAGGAGTGTTTTTATGTTTGAATAACTAAATCGATTCATACTACAAAGAAATAATAGCATAAAGAATAAATATCCCTCCAGGAGGTCAGATATTGATGGAAAATGTCCAGAAAGGTCAAATTTAAATAATAAAAATAAAATTGTTTTAGATACCCTGGATAACTTTTTTTTGATCAGGAGGACTTTAAAAGATGAAGTCGAGAGACGGTAGGATGGTATGACACTTCTCAAAGAAACCATCAACCCTGTGAGAGCTGGAAGCTAAAAGGATGAGTCGTCTCTCAGCTGCGAAGATTCGAGAAGAAGGTGCAAAGCCTTATTTTATGTCACTAAAATCTATTTTTACAAGACTAAATATTTCTAATTAAGACATGCTTCCAGAGACAGCTAGATAAATAGGTCAACAGGACAAACACTCTTAAAGTACAGAGGAGCCAACTGTACGTTAAACGGCAGGAACTTCCCTTCACTCACTGAAAGCTTTGAGGCTAGGAGGTGAAATGTCTTCAAGAAGTGAAGATTAATCCCAGATGACTTCGGGTTAAGCTGCCAGGGTTACGCTGACGGGATAAACTGATAATCTTTCAGGATATGCTTAAACTTTTCTTTAATGATTTTGGCCAGATGTCAACCTTTTTCTTGTTTTATTCTTTATAGGTACAGCAGGAGAATCACCGGGAATTAATCTCCTCCACTTTGCTCAAGATTAAATGAGATTTAGCCAGCCCAGAGGCAGGCCTGAGATCCTGGACTAATCACTCCCTCTTTAACCAGATCCCTCTTGGAGAGGTGAGGGAACAGGTTAAAGGAGGGTTGTGCCACCAGCCTGGACCCTGATTAGAAGTCAAATCCAAACATCAAGTTTAATTCTGTCTTGAAGAGGGAGGAAGGCATCATCAAGAAGGCAGATACTTGATGAACCTCAATGGAAACGCGGAACATGGGCTAGATGAGAGGCTGGGGCTGTTCTGCTCTCAGGAAGAAAAGCTCCTACATATAGATCGAATATCCTACTTTGTCTGTCCAGCAAATCCAGAGTTTCTGTAACGGATACTACAACAGGGATCCTCCAGCTGAGACTGCTTCCATGACGACGTAACAGCTGGAGCTCCTGCCTCTGCTTGATTAAAGCCCAGCTCTTATCTGCCATCCCTCCACTGTCCTTTAACCCCGCTCATCAGATATTCCTCCTCAGACTCCGCCCCCCTTCCATTTCATCATTGCTTCTCATCTTCGTCCCTGACTGTTGGTCCTCAACTCAAACAATCCTGATCTTATTTTCCCCTCGGTCATCTTCCACGAGTGCCTGATCTGACTTATCCCTGAGTCGTCCTTATGCCGATGCTTCAGTCCACTGAGCCTCATCCCAGCAGGTCACCACAACCAGTCAGGCACATGTAGCCATTTTAGGGCCTTCACAGTAGAGCCCAGGCTTCACCTCTTACACCTGCTGCAGTTCTCCACTGGCTTTGGTCAGGTCCAGCATAAACAATGCTGGAGAAAATGTCCAGACGAAACCGCACCCTGCTTTCTCTGGGTCTCACCTCGTTGGCCCTGACCATGTCTGTGTCGGCTTTCTGCACCTCGTACTGGTGTGAAGGGACTCATAAGGTGGTGAAACCAATTTGCCTGTCACCCGTCAAGTTGAAAAACTGTGGGAAGAACAACAGCCAGCCGTATACAACAGGTGAAGCTGGACATGAACTGTTTTAGTGCTCCTGTTGAGTCAAGTGTCTGTTTATTATCATATGATAAAGGCTCCTGACGTCATGGATGAACCAATGCTGCATTAACATATAAAACTGCAAATATATATTTATTTAAAACTGGACTTCAAATGTTGAAAGCACCCAAAATACCAAAATTCATAGTTTAAAGGACATTTTAAAGGAAATTTTATTTTAGTGAGGAAACATTTCTAAATATCCTCTAGCTAAAGAATTCGGCATGTGCTGATGATCACATAAGGAAGATTCACCTATTGTTTTTTTTTGTTTGTTTTTTTGTGGGTGGGGGGTCTAAATCATTTGTTTCCTGGAATTAAGAATCAGAAGGTCTTCAGCCAATAAGCATGTTGTTTTCACATACCTCCTTTTTTCCCACATTTTTCCCATTTCAAATTTTCTAAGCAGACATCTCGCTCAATCCGAACGGAAAATGACATCCAGTCTTTGAAAAAGAACTATGACAAACCTTCAGATAGTAACCATGAATATTAATTATCTCCACTTAAAAAAATATATCTGAGGAAAATATTCAACGTACAGAAATCCTGTGTGAGAATTTGATATAACATACAATCAACAGTGGGTTTAATGTGTTCTGTGTTTGACTGCCAGGTTCTAATGCCTAATGATTAATTACAGGTTATATGCATATATATAATATAAGCTGCAGAACTGAGCTGAAAGCGAAACTAAACAAAAGAAAAACATTGTTAATTTAGTTAGAAACAGGAAACCTGAACTAAAACTTTACTGATGCCCCTTTTGATTAGAGATCCCAAACATGGAAAATGTACCTCTGAACTATTCTGGTTTCATTATTCCAAACTGAAATAATTTTTAAATTGAGGGATTTTGTTTAGTCACGTACTTTATGATGCTGAAATTATATTTGTCTTCATTTTGATCTATCTGGCAGACAGCCTGAGATTTTGGTAAATCAGACTACTATTAATAACAGTTCATAACTTCATCCTCTCATAAACCTCAGTAATATCTGCAGAGAACTAACCCAGAGCATAACTGCACCATCACTATGTTTAATATCACATATGATATTAATTTTTTAATGCTGATTAGGCTTTCTCCCTGAAAGGAGATTTTAGCCTGGAAAATAAAAAAAATATTTTGAAGAAAATGATTCTATGTTGCAAATCTACCCCTTAATCCAGACATACCTTTGGCATTTACTTATCATATTTAGTTTCTTTAACACAATTGTTTTAAGTCCTACCCTGCTAACATGAAACAATTGTGTTAAAGTAACTGAATATAATAAAGTAAATGCAAAAAAAAAGTGGTTGTATATTTTTTTTCAGTGTTGTTAGATGTAGAACAAATTTTGCCAGTGCTAACCTCATTATGCCCTTTAGTCTCTTTGGAGCCTTCAAGACCAGATTCAATTTTATCTATGCATATTTATTTGATTTTTATTATTTTTTTTAATAACATTTGTTTTTAGACTTAAACTTCATTATCATCTTGTATACACAAAGTGTATACAAAACAATATTTTGATGCATACAGCTTTTTTACAGTAGAAGAAATGCTTGCAAATTGTCGAAGAGATGTAGCAGCCGAAGCCTTTATGGCGCCGCCATCTTGAAAATATATATATTTTCAATATATTTTTGTTTCTTCTGTAGCATCATTTCTCCACTGTCTGTTTTCATTCTGCCCGTTTCTGACCCTGGGAACCTTTTTGCTGAACTTTTCTTGTTTGTTGGAAGGGAGTTCTTTTAGGAACAGTCCTGTTTGCTAATCATGGCTTCCACTAAATGATGCAGAGGAAGAACATTTCAGGAAAATATTACTAAAGCTTATTGTGTGAAAATATTTAAATACAGATTTATCACAGATGTTTTTGTCTATATTATAATATAATCTTTTTTACTGTAATCCCTCTAATTATTTGTTGTAAGATAATTTTTACATGATTAACATCAAATTGAAGTTAAAATAAGCTTTTTTGATTATCTATTATAGTAAAGCATTTTTTGTACAAAAACATAACATATTAAGACGGCTTAAACTCGGTGCTAAGCTTTGAATGTGCAGTGCAGTCTAATATATATTTAGAATTCATTCTTTGATAAATATAATAAAATGTCTGTGCTCAGTATGCAGCAGAAAGATGTCAAACTGCAGGGTGTTCTCCGTGGGACATTAATCCCCATGTTAGTCGTGTAAAAACATGTGAAGTTTCTAACCTGGTAGAGCTCAGCCATGACTGCATGAAGCTTTACATGTAGACATTTTTCAGATAATCCCATGTAGGCTGTAATCTCACTACAGTGTGTTTAATACAGTTTAATATAGAAATCAAAGCTGACTAAAAACAGCATCTGAGAGTTTTTTTTTTTTCCAGGGATATCAGTCAGATAAGGATTTTGTACAGTGTTTTTTTTTTTTTTTTTTTTTTCTTTTCTTTACTTTAAGTACTCATTTCCACCAATATTTCAAGCAATATAATCTCATGTCCAAAGGGGGGATAGTAACTAGTTATATTTACTCAGTTGCATTAACTAGATTTATTTGCACCTTAACATTTGCTTTAACATAAGTAATATTATCAAGTATCGCTAACCGTTACCCTTACATCTTTAGCTACTCTCCCCACTGTCAGTAACTCCACTGTAGAAAAACAAGCACATTTCAACCTAAAAATGCAGCAGACACAAGAGGATAAAACTATATCCTGTTTTGAACACCATATTTGTAGTTTTAATGTTTCTTTTATTGAGACAAAGAAATAGTAGTTAATATACAAAAAAAAAAACGTATTTATTGTCGCTGACGTTTGTTTATCCTATTGCATCATACATACTTTATATACTTCAAGAAATGGTTTAATATGTTATTTGTCAAAAAATTTATCATGAAAATTGTTTCTTCTTCCCCTATTTGTTTGATTCATGATCTTAAAAACATAATTTCAAATAGTACTAGTTCCTTATAAGTTTTACTCTTGTTTTAGTAGATTAATGGATGACTACCTTGTAGTAAAGTAGATTTATGTTGAAGTAGTGCTACCTTTGTTGAGTATGTTTTCTTTTTGTTTTCTACCCACCTCTGCTCATTTTTTTCTCTTTTCAACAACATGTATTTTTTTTCCTCAGCTTTATTTTGAGGCTTTGCTTTTTATCACATTGATCACCTGAATTGTTCTCTGTTTCCATCCAGAGGCTCCCACCGTGGACCCTAGTAGCCCTGTGTCCAACGTGACGCTCTCTCCAAAGCAGAAAGAGGAACTGGCTCTCCTGAGGAAAAAGCAGTTGGCCAACGCCGTGCAGTATCTCTGGGAAACAGGGGAGGATAAATACATGCTGAGATACTTTCATACAGGCTTCTGGCTTTCCTGTGAAAAACACAATGAAGGTTGGTGTTGGAGTACATATGATTACTGTGTCTTAATACTAATTCGTATTTAAACTGAAAATATGAGAAAAACAGTGAAAGCCTATTTTTCCTTCATCCAAAAATCCTTTAATGACTGTTCCCTGAGTTCTAGGTAAACTTTTCCTGTAGTGCACAAGTTTTATGTTTTTCAAAGCAAATGCAAAGGCTATTTTTTATGACAAGAGATGTTCCTGAAAGGGATTTTATCATAAAAAGGCAGCCTTAGATGATAGAAATTAAACTTATTTAAACTTTAATTTTGAGGCAAACATAAACAGATTATAACATGTCTGGTTTAGTTCGAAACTACAAAAATTTCAAGGACATTGTATTTTAGTTTATTTGATCAGTGATATAAAAACACATTTAAATAATCATGAAAAATAGTTATATGCAGAACTTCCTGTTTTTAGGAGACGATCAGGAGGAAAAGTGTCGCAGCTTCATTGAACTGACCCCAGGGGAGACACAAGGTTGGAGCAACACCAGTTTTTCACAGAAAATACAAAGAACACCATTTGATCAAATTGTGACACTTCTAAATCAAATGTTAACACAACAAAAACTGTATATTTTCTGTTTCGATGCTTCCAGGTGTGCTGTGGCTGGCTGTTATAAGTGAGTTTATGTACATCGGCCTCCTGGCAATGGGTTTCCTCCTCATGTGTGTAGAAGCCTTGTGCCTCTGTGCCAAGAAGGAGATGAGCTCCCTTAAGGTCAACGCCTACGCTGCTATGTGCACCGTCCTTTCTGGTGAATGCTTAAAAAGTATTGGATTGTACATATTTATTTTTAAATTATGATTTATTTGTAGGACTGCTCAGCTGCGCAGTGAGTTGCACTGCTGCTTTGCAGCAAGCAGATTCCGGGTTTGATTCCCGGCCCAGGGTCTTTTTGCATGTAGTTTGCATGTTCTCCCTGTGCATGCAAGGGTTCCCTCTGGGTACTCCAACTTCCTCCCACAGTCCAAAACCATGACTGTTAGGATAATTGGCTTCTCTAAATTGTCCTTAGGTGTGAGTGTTTGCTTGAATGGTTGTTTCTCCTGTTTGTCTTTGTCTCTACGAAGGACTGGCGACCTGTCCAGGGTGAACCCTGCTTCTGGCCCATAAGTGACCTATGCTTGGGATAGATGTGACTGAAAATGGACGGATTGATTTGTTTTTAGTTTGCTGGTCTACCCAAAAAATAACTGTATAATGCCATGTGTTTATAACTAGTGCTATATAGATAAACTGAATTGAATTAAAATGAATTCGTTCTGTACTTAAATAAGAAGGACCTAACATGTTTTTTAGCTGTTATGCAGTCATTATCAGATGTTAGGATCATCTTTATCTTTGCCTGTGTTTGTTAAGCCCAAATATTACCTACCTTTTTAGTATGGTAGATGTATTCTCTAGTCTTCCTACCCATGGTGTAAAGCCATAAAATATAGAGGCTGATGCTTTTCCCAAGCAGTTTATTTAGTTATGACAGTTCTTCTATTGGGATCAAAAGTAATCATCTCCATTATGTAAGTAAAAAGGGTTTAGAAATGAAATGGGAGCATACAGACGGTGATGATAATAGTTCTCTAGGGCCAGGCTGATAAAGAGAATTTGGGTGTGTAATCCTAAGGCAAAGATGCAGCAGGGAAAGACGAGGAGCTTTGACAGCCTCGTCGAATAATGACACCACAGTTAACATATAGAGTCAGGAGGTATAAGTAGGAGGAGAAAGTGTTTTTTGGGGATAATTTCTCTTTTGATACCAGCTGGTGTACCAACGACCTGAGCCAACAGCTGTGTGATTCCCTGTAATTTCTCCAATCTAATTTTGAATAAATCCAGTTTAACTGTTCTTATTTTATAGTCATTTATTAGATTTATTTGTGTTATGTTGAAGAGTGATTAAACGTAGCGAAAAAAAGAATGGGAAGGAAAGCTTCAAGGCGAAGACGCATTCAGTGGGCAGTAGCTTTCATTACAGAGAGAATGAGTTGTTTGAACATTCTCATATGAACATTCTCTGAGAGATGTGACAATATTTTTTCATTTTTTTGTGTTTTTATAACTAATCATACAATTTATTTTTATTTGTTCTGAATGCTTCCTACAGTTTATACTGTGGACCTCTAAGCTTATAAATTAAATAAGTTTTAAGTCACTTTTTGTTCCCATCCAACCATACAGCCTTCCACCTTTCTTGTCCCTCTTAATCGGGTCATTGTGGTGCTGGTTTCTCCAGCAGTCTCTGGATAAAAGGCAGGGTACACCCAGACAGGTCACCAGCTTATCAAAAGGCAGCATTTGCTTCCCCCCTTTTAACAAACCTCTCTCCATGTGCCACAGGCCTGATGGGGATGGTCGCCCACATGATGTACACCACAGTTTTTCAGATGACAGTGAGCATTGGACCAAAAGACTGGAGGCCACAGTCTTGGGACTATGGATGGTCTTTTGCGTGAGTCATTTTCTGTGGTATTCCTGTTTTTAATACCTTAACTGAAAGTACAGGTAAAAATAATAGATGGTTATGTTTTGTTTGCTTTTTTAAAATTCCCGCAAACTACCTATTGTTCAATACCAGCAACGATTATAATGCCATGATGGTAAAATGCAATAACGGACGTTTAGGTAGAAGGCTTTGAAAACAATGTATGAATACTACCCAGTATCATCTGCAGAAAAACCTCAGTTTCGGGGCTAGCTGACTCTCAGCAATAGAGATTTTTTTCCAGGAGAACCTAAACTTCCGTCCCCCAAGTAGTAAAATTCACTTTTAAATACTGTTAGCAGAAAAATCTGATTTAGAATGCCTTTATTTATCATTATACAGAGCATCCAAGAGACACAGTACAACAACAAATATTAGCGGACAGATGCCTGAGGCTATGGCCTTTGGGGCTGCCCCTGCCGTAAAAAGATAATAACAGAAAACATAGGGGGTAAATGAGAATTAAAAAAATACATCCCACACTGTGCAGAATAACGTTTCATGAATACCCTTAAATTCCAGGTGTGACTCTAGAAGTTGCTTCTTTTTAAGACGGCCATATTGTATTGTCCATTCCAGTAAAACTATATGTAAAGATGTTTTCTTAAATCTTTCCATCTCTCAGGTTAGCATGGCTTTCCTTCAGCTGCTGCATGGCCGCCGCTGTTGCAACACTCAACTCCTACACTAAGACCATCATTGAGATGAAGCACAGAGCCAGGCTGAGATTGGAGGAGGCCCGAGCTGCTACCATCGCCCCCCCCTATGAGGAGGTTGTCCGAGCAGGAGGAGGCAGCCTTTACTCAATCAGCCAGTTGGTTCAGCTTGGGCAGCAGGGCGCCCTTATGGATCCACTGTGGCCAAGAGGAGTGGGACCGGCAGTTGGACCTTTGGCATGCAGTGCTGGTGGAGCCTTGCTGGTTGGAGCTGGAGTCGGAGGCATTGGGATGGGTATGGGAGGAGCTGGACCTGGAGGAATACCAGCTATGGGGGGAGTTGTTGGAGTTGGTGTTGAAGGTGGAGTTGGGATGGGAAGGGGCAGCAGTGGTGGGACAATGGGAACAATGGCAGGAGCCAAAATGGGAACAGGAAGAATGATGAACACTCACAGAGTTGTAGTTGTGGGGGGATGCACGACTGAAGGATGTACAGAGTGTGAACGAGAGATGGATGAGATAGACTACACTCTGCGGGAGGGCAGAGAGGACTCGCTTTGCTAGGACTTACAAAGGATAAAGACTAGCAAACCATACATGACTTGAAAAATCACCTTATCATTTATTTGTACATAAACTGTTTTGGGATTTATAGATGTAGCTTACTGAGTTTATTTAGCACTAGTCTACATGTTGTGAATATGCCTCAATATATTTTGCAGTATCGAAAACAGTACACTTTTTCTTTTTTATTGTAAAAGCATCAAAGAGAAAGTCAGTCAGGGCTTTAATATATCTGAAATAACAATAGCTGTGACACAACAAATCTCCCAAAGTGCAACTCATCAACGACTTCAATGGCCAAATGGTTAAGTTCTCTATAAGTTCTTTCGGTTCTTTCGTTTTACCAGAAAAATGACCTGGGCCTATATTCAAAAGGATTCTCAGAGTCCTCCCAGAGAGCTCATCACTTAGTCTAAAAAAATTCTTCTGTGAAACTTTTATCTTAGTGAGAAGGGGTGGTTGACACTGTTGCTAGGATTGACACTGTCTACTAAGAGCTGTGATTGGTTGGTGGTTGGAAGTAAAAAAGAATTTAATAAAACAAGCCAATCTCGAGTGGATTAAAAAAAGAGTAAATCATGATGATGAATCTTATAAAAAATGTATTAATTATTTCATATATTGGATAAAAAGGTGGTGAAAAGAAAACTGGACAGGGGAGTAGTGTCTGCTGGCGCAGCTGATAAAGGAAATTAGAGGAGCTGAAGGTTAATTTGGATCAAAAAGCAGTAGACTTGAAATACAGAATAGAGTTGATCAATACATTATTCTCCCTGCTTTCACCTGTTTCACCTACATCTTTTTCATGGGTGTTGTAGGCGACCATAATTATGCTATGGCTGCTTACATAACCATGTACAACACAGCAAATATTTCATTATTCAACACAGTTACATCTCCCTCTTATGTATATTGTATTTATATTGTTGTACTTTTACTTATCTAGAGTTTTTATCTATCTGAATATTGTCTTTGACTTGTTCCATTTTTTAAAGATTTTATTTTTGAAATCATATATTGTTTGTATATTTTTTACTATTTATTCTTAGTCAAAGATGTTTTTACATCATTTCTTCTTAAAATCTTATTAAATCTTATTGTGTACATTGAAACTTTGACTGATTCTGCTACTGTAAAATAGCTATAATTACCCTACACTGAAAAAAAAGATACTTTGGATGAACTTAAAAAAATTACTGTAATTTGTTACACCTAAATTTATTACTTTATCTCAAATTAACTTTCTGATGTGGTTGAAACTATACATTTTGATTTACTAGAAATAGATTTTTTACCTTAAACCAAAGAAAGAAATTGCATTCATACCAAGTAAAACTTTAATTTATGACAAAGACTATAAACAAGTTTTATACTTCGTTAAAACTTAATTTTTCAATTTGGAAAAAACTAATTTTTTACATTACAAATAAGTATAGATTCACTTTGGAATAAACCAATTGAAATGCTGTAATTTTGTTACATGAATTTTTTTTAAGTTTTTACAACTTAAATTTCTGAATCAACACAAAGTCAATTTTCTGTTGTACCTTATTAAAAACATTATATAGTCCCAAGCTAAAGTGTTAATTTAGGTCAATGAGATTTTTTTTTTTTGCCTTTTATAAGTGAAAATGTCATGACATTACAAGCCAAATTCCCAACAATATAAAACTAAAATTCACTGAAATGATTCACTGCAGATACAAATTAAAAACAGAAAAGTCTCTTTTAAATGCCATTTATTTTTGATGATTCTGAAAATACCATCTTTCAAAAGGCCAGTGCATATTTTACACAAAGATTAGGGAAAAGAAATTACATGTAAAATTAAACTAAATGTGGGTTTTTCCTATTTTCAGACCTAATGAAACTGCAAAAACATAAACCTACACATCAACATGAAAAAATACTTTCTTCACCTCTTTAAAACTTCAGAGATCCAAAGTGAGAGTATTAAAACAGGATAAACATTGCTGTCATTGCTAACATTTGAAATACCCATTAAGAGTATGAAAATGAACTTTGAACCATTACAAAATTAGGAGACCCAAAAAATTAAGAAAAAAAGGGGCTGTGCGTTAAAATATCAATAAACGCAGTTAAAGAAAGAAAAAACACAGCTAGTGCTGATGTGACTTACTGAATTTAGTATTCACATTTCAAAGGTGATATACATGCCACAATATTTCTACAACAGAAATGAATCCAATAATACAAAAAAAAAAATCACAAATTAAATATTTTGAATTAAATCTAATTTTTCCCTTGGATTAACCTGCAATGCCTTTGAATACAAGCAATAAAACTGCACATGCATCCAACCGTCTTTCTTTGACCAACCCCATATTTAGAGCTTGACACTCAGACTGCACACTCTGCGTGTCATTCTCTTTGGTTCAGTCTCCATGAAGACTTTCTGCAGCGCATCAAAAGTGTGTCTGAGCTCACAGCCGGTCGAAGACTTCGATGCGAGGGAGCATTAATGGCTGACTGCAAAGTCGAAAAATGGGGTTTGATGTGACGTCACGCTGTCACGTGACAAGAAAACCTAAAGTGAAACCTAAGTAAACCTAAGTGAAAATATCATTTATTTTGAATTGTTTTATTTAATTTTATCCAGGGGGAATGTCGTTTGCTTTGAAACAAACTGGAAATATCAAATTCAAAACGGAAACCACGATTTTTCATTCAACCAATTTAAAAATGCACTTTGAAGGAATGACAAAGTCTTTTCACTTTTTTCAGTGTATGGGGATGATAATGTTGATCTTATCTCCAACCATAATTTTATGATTGTTATAGAAGTTTGTGCTCATTTAATCTGCTTCTCTGGTGGATTATTCCAAATATTCTCCCTGTCTGCAACAACTTCTCCTAAAGCACCATAAAGGTCTTCCTCCTTTCTTTATATTTTCCCCCATAAAAGCTTTGTTAAGGCCAAAGGTACTTTCTGATTAACTTTCTTGCTACCAAGGAAAAGTTCTAGAAATTCAAAGTTTTCTGATATTTCTTAAAATGGCATTTTAATGAGATAATTTATTATTAGGGTTCTTTGTGAATATGGGCCCTAGTCTTTACCAATTTGTTGAATAATTCAAATATAACCTCAAGTGTATTAAACCAAGCAACCAAAGTATCAGACTTTGAAAATATTTCATAATATGTCACATTTTAGAAACTTTTCAAAGACCGCTTCATACTCATATGGGGATATTTGCTGGTAATTCTTTCAACACGAATTGAGGCTGAATACCATCTAGTCACACTGGAGATTACACAGCACTTTTTAAAGGCTATTCATGACATATCAGTATATTGTTGCTGGAATTATAGAAAACTAAACCAGTTTACTTTTCTTGTTGAAACATTTATTGGGGAAAAAATAAATGTTAATCATGTCAATTTTAGCCATAGTTGCTGTTCGAAAGTACTTTCTGAAAATGGCACAAACTGGACACATTGACAGTGGGGCAAGATACCTTTTATAAAGGTAAATTTACTGCTCATCTGCATAGAAATGACTCATTGAAGCTGGTTTAAGTGTTGGATAAGAATGCTTTCTCCTACTCATTGATGGTTATTTTATGAATATGTGAGAAGACCAGTGGTCAGACCCAGAACCAGCTGGTCTGAGAAAAACTTGGTATTACTCAGAAAGAGCTGAAGAGTCTCAAATATTCTCCAACCGTGTCTCAGGGTTGCTCCTAAACCAAATCTCAGATAACTGTCTGAAATCAAACACCCCCGAAAACAAAGATATTTTCATCTTTTGTCATTTAGATCTATATAATTATAGCTGCCATACCAAAAGACCAACTACATCCACTGTTTTGCCCATTCAATCTTCTTTCCTGCCTCCTCCTCCTTGTCCTTTAATTGTTGGACTAATATTTCTGTCAACTCGTCATGTATTCTGGCATCGCGCGGTGTTTGCTATGTGCTTCTGAGAAAGTGGATAAGTCTATTGAGGAATACTAGAAAAAAGTGAGATGACAGAAGCAGAGGTTTTTAGACAGATGTTTTTAGATGTTGAGCAGAAGATTATGTCAGTAATCTCTACCAGTCATGGAAATAAGAGAGAGAGTGCGAGAGGGATTGACTCAATGCAGGCAGTGAGGCGGAGATAAACTGAACCCCGAGGTTATTGAATGCCTCTGTATAAGGAGAGTAATTAAAAATGTAATTTAAGAGGTTAGATAATTCAGCAGTTATGCAACTGCAACCATATGGACAGTAACCTTAACAGCCCGATGTTCGAAGCAGTGTGTTACCAAAAATTTTACTACAATAAAAATGTATTCATTTTCCTAAATGACTATTTACCAGCGATGATATAAGACATTATTCTAAGAATATGGATGGAGGATTTGTAAACCTTTAAAAAAAAAAAAAGACCTTTTCACATTGTAAACAACAGGAAGTAAAAAAGATATATATTCTCAATCCTCGTTTTATTAAAACTTTATTGTTTACATTTATTCCATATATTACAAAGGAACATCTAGGACCAACACCACTTTCCATATTAATCACTTAAACATCAAACATGTAAAACTGTGCCCCATGGTTAAGCAAAAATGGTAAAAGACTAATTTGGCTAAAGCAGTATTGCATGTTGGTCAAGGTTTACAAAGAATAGCAATGTTATTATTTACTGGTACAGTGAAAACATTATAGCAAAACAAACCTTCATTATATCCTTTTTATTTGCTCTAAACTACTGGCTGCATCAAAATTCATAATAAAATTAATTATATCATGTATTTTATTCGCTGTAAAGACCTTGTGCTGAATGGTTCCTGGGATATCTCTGTCTATCAAGTAGTAGAAAGACAGCAGGTTATAGATATCTGCTGGAAAGCATATTCACAAAGATATTTTACCATCAATGTAATCTGCTTGCATCACATTCCACTCCCCAGATTTTCATCTTTTAAACTACAAACAACTTGGACAGCACACATGCACAGGAAACAAGCATGAAACCAAGCAGGAGGTCA